ACATTTGAGAGCATATTATATTAATTATTGTAAATTATGATGTATACCATACAGTCCATACACGCTTAGATGTTTGATATATACCAATACACCTATACTATATAACATAATATTCAGGTATATTCAAACATTTCATGTTCAATTAAACAAACATTACTGCTACGGTGAATTCGTTTTTACAAGTAACGTTAATAGGTACGTGGTAATAGCCAAAAATAGGTGTTATTTATGTATATATGCATATTATTTGTGTAATTATATCAAAACTATACAGTGTGTCATCGCTCGTTTCTCCCCTCCCACCGACTGTTGTAAGAAGATAAACAACTAAAACGTACCTATGTTGGTTAAATTTTATATATTTATATAATGTACATATATATCTACAAGTACATGCACTATATAGAGGTATTTAGTAGAAGGTTATGGCCGTTCCAGACCACTGCGGCGAGACAGTGACCTTTCTTATAATTATTTCATTTCTTACATATAAAACGAATGTATAACGCGTATAACAAAATAACATAACTCTATTAGAACACAATAATATTTTATGTCCACCGTACACACTACAGTACTACACACACGTACATAACATAATATACCGTCGCGCCGCAGCAGTAAACTATATAATATATTTATATAATATAGATAAGCACGATTGTATTATATTTTATCCATCACGAATCTGAATTTTCTATTTAATTATTCTAGCAGTAAATAATAATATTGGTATGACAACATTATTGTTATTTTTCATTACGCAACCTTGACATATACTTTCGAATCGAGTGACATGGTTAATAATTAAGGTTCATATTTATATTATAAACATAAATAATCTTTATTCTGTTTTTATCTTATTTGCTTATTGTAATTATTGTGTACAGATTGTAAATTGTCTTTCTTAATAAAAAAACATAAATAATAGAATAAGTAACGAACATATTACATGTGAATACAATAAATATATTATATATCTATATTATACCAAGTGGCGTAATTTATATTGCAGTGTTTTAAACGGTACCGCGAAAAAATAACCCCGGAAATTTAGACCCCGAAAAAAAGAACCCCGTGAAAAAATAACCACAAATGAGATTTTGCAAATTAATCTATATATTGGTGTTAATATGTTATTGCGTGAAAAAAATTAAAAAAATGTTTAATATACCTATCACCTACGTACAATTTATATGTTCCCACAAATAACGTTAATTTTGGATTCAATGATAAATTATTGATTACCCACGATAAAAACGATTCAGAGCACGATGCCAGTCTATCTGTCATATCGATCAGATATATAATAACAAGGTACAGCGACAATGTGAAATAATATTATAATGGATAGATTATATAATATTTAAAAGGTACCTTTATCTTTAATGTTCTGATAAAAGCGGTAATTTATAAAATTTGTCAAGTCCTGTGAGTTCATTTCTCAGTATTTGGTACTACAGTCAGGGGTTAAAGTGGGGGGGGGACGCAGGAGGACTCAGTCCCCTTACCTCTGACGGCGGTTAAAAAGCGTCCCCTTTAACAAATTAGGATTTTATACATTAGACATTATACATAAAATTATATATGGAACGCTTAAAACTCTTTGGAAACATTAGTCCCCTCTGGAATTTTTTCCCACTTTAACCTCTGACTACAGTGTGCTTTCGTATATTATATATTTCTCTGTGCTTTGTTTTAATTTCTATTTGAATAATAATATGGATATACTAGATATTTTTGAGAGCCAGAAGGGCAAAGAAAAGTTGGCATTTAAAAAGTATATGTATGTTGTACACAAAGAGTGTTTAAATTTTATAAGGTGTAAATGCTGCAAAAAAAATAGTCACAAATGTCCATGTATTTTAAAAACTTCCCTGGATAAAAAACGTTAAATTAAAATTGATCATGAACATTATTGTATTACACATTTATGGTGAATATTTTTTATTTATATATTATATTGACATTTCTATTCGTTTTTATCATAATTGAAAAATTTGACAATTTGTTTTAAATTATTATTATATTATTGAAATTGAATTGTATTACAAATAGGTAGGCGCCTGCAGGTACACCTTACAAATCAATTTTATTATAGGGTTATTTTTTCCGGGGTTATTTATTAGGCAAATCGTTTTAAACATAAACAGACTAAACGTCTAAACAAAGGTACACTGTAACCCGTTGGGAACAAATTTATATCCAAACGCCAATTAATGGTGTCTATCCACTGAAAAAAAAAAAACTATGTTAGTTTGACAATTATATTGTTGCTATTTAGCTAACAAGATATTTGTCAAACCATCATACCTTAAATTGTCATTATTATAAATAAAAACCATGATCATATCAATAAGACAAATTGTTGATTTAACAAAAATCTTGTTACAATTTATCCAACAAGATACCTTGTTAAACCAACATTCCTTAAATTGTTGTTATAATAAATAAAAACCATGATCATATTAATAAGGCAAATTGTTGACTAAGCATTGGCGCAAACGTTTGGGATTAGGGGGAAGCTATGGACATTTAGGGGGACTTAGCTCCTATATTTATAGAAGAACAATATAGGTAGTATAAAACAATACAGGTATGATATAATAGACATAATACTACTAAATAATATTAATTACTTAACTCTGACAATATTTGAGACAGTTTATGATAAGGCTTGTCGTGCTTATACGAAAAACAAAAAAAAAACTCTGATTGAAATGGATATTCTAACTGAAGTAGATGAAATTTTTTATAACACACTTCTAGAGCCCTTAGAACATAATGTACCTTATATAAAATTGAATCAAAATATGCTAATATTTCTTTTTGCTGAAAAATACTACCAACAATAAAAATAAAAGGTTGAATAGGACGGCCTTGGTTTTGTAATTGATCCACAAACACTTCCACTGATTCACCAATAACCATCAATTAATGATCCTGTGAATCTTTAATCGAATACTTTGTATGATTTTTTTTGCCATTTTCATCCTTTGTAACTTTTGTTGATGTAGGTGCAAACATGGCATGTGAACAATACATGATTGCCACATTTTTTGTATCTATTGTTAATATAAAAAACTATTATAATAAATATCAAATATATTATTAGGTAGGTACATATTACTATAGATGGAAAGTTAATAATCTAGGTTTGAATATCAAATTTAAAAATATATTTTTTTGTTTTTTTTTGTAGGTACCTATCCCCGCATGGAGTGTCTTAGTCGTTAATGGGCTTGACAAACCCACGGACTTCAGTCGTGGCGTCGGGAAAGTGGCGATTATTTGTCCTATATTTAAAAAAGGAAACCCAGCAGAAGCAGAAAACTATTGAAGTATTTCCCTGCATGACATTGTCCTATTGAACATCCTAAAGTCCTAACAACAATAGTCAATAATATTGAAAAGAATAAATACATATGCCAATGATATTATTGGTAGTTATCAATGTGGGTTTCAAAAGGGCAAGGCAACCACTGACCATATATTTGTACTAAGACAAATTATGGAAAAGTATTATGAATTTGGTTTATAACTGCATTTATTATTTATAGATTACAAACAGGCATATGATAGTATTGACAGGAGCGAGTTATGGAAGGGATTGGAAAGACTTGGAATACCGGGGAAGTATGTGAATCTAATAGAAATGTGCAGCGAGAAGACAATTTGCAAAATATGATTTTTGCAGAATGACTCGGAGCCATTTGGGGTAAAATCTGGCTTGCGTCAGGGAGACGCATTGTCACCTACATAATTCAACATAGCTCTTGAAAGAATAGGAAGAGATATCCATGAACAACAGCAAATAAAGATAAGTGGAGATTCAGTGATGTAGGCTTACACTGATGATATTGTAGTAATGGGAAAGACTAGGGAAGAAGTTGCCCAGACAACCGAGAGCCTACTTAAGACAAGCATGTCAATGGGTTTATATGTAAATGAAAATAAAACTAAGTACATTGTGATGTCAAGGACCAATCTAAACATAAACCTTGGTAGACAATTAGAAATTTGAAGCAGTGGATAACTTCAAGTATTTGAGAGTAAACGTCAATAACAAGAATATTATGCACCAAGAGATAAATGAAAGAATCATGAGTGGGAATAGGTGTTACTATAATATAATTAAGCTCCTAAAATCAAAACTACTATCATGGACATCAAGGATACGCTTATACCATAGCTATTTGTGACCAATAGTGACGTACACGAGTGAAACATGGTCATTAACAAAAAGCAATGAGAGAAGCTGATGATATATGAAAAAAAAATACCCTGGAATATATTTGACCACACTTTAATCTCGAGAAACAAATACGTTTGACAGAAGAAAAATTGAAAAGCTACAGAAATTATACAAAAGACCAAAAATTCTAGCCTTTATCAGGAATAAAAGACTAGACTAATAAAAAAAGTACTTGTGGAAAAAAAGACCCCTAGGAAGACCCAGGACCTGGTGGATTAATGTAGTCTCCAAAGATTTGAAAGCCATAGACCAGAATGTGACTTATGAGTTGACTTAAAATAGAGAGAGAGATGGAGAGACCTGTCGAAGGCAGCAATGGTCCTTAATGGACCGGTAAGCTGAAGAGAAGAGAAGAAGTAGGTACCTATAATTAATTCAAATATCATATTAGAATAATAATTAAGCATGTATTTAAAGAAATATTAATATCATAAGTAGGTCCTACTTATAAAAGTTATAAAATTAAAATCATTGAAAATATTTAGGTGTTTTCATAAATAAAAAAAGGAAGGTACCTATTTAATTGTTTTTTATAGGTAAAGGTATACAATATGTCAATATTGTTAACTATTATTATTTAACAACAGTAGAAATTAAATTTAAAAAATATTTTTATAAACATTTTCAAATACCTATAATGTATTTATAAGGAACATCACTACAGTTACTATCAGTAAAAAAAATTATCTTACTTTCAGTAATTTCCTTTTTAGTTTTAATTTATTCTAATAATTTACGGCAATTCATATCTTTTATTTTTACATCCATAATTGTAAGCACCTTATCAATTTTTAAATTAAACTCATCATAAATATTGGCACAATTGGGAAATAATGCATTATACTCATTATAGTCTATGTCAATCTGAAAATAATTTTCATAATTAAATATATATATAATATACTAATAAACTAATAATTAGATTTGAATATATAGATAACATACTATTTAGTGCTTTTATTCATAGACTACACCACACAGTTATCACCTAAACAAAAAAGAAATTGCAGCGGTCTATGATACCACACCATATTATAGAAGAGTATCTAAGTGAGGGATAGTCTAACCAGTCTAAGGGAACTGCCTAAGGAAATAAATAGTTTAAATCACATAAAGAGCTACCATAAAATAATTTTTGATTTCTTACTAGTTTATGTCCATATAGTACTAAATATTGCTTCCACATTTTCAATACATCATTAGTGTATGAAGAATTTTTAATATAATTAAGTCTGTAATTAATTGTAGCCTTCCAGTTCTTTTCTAAATCTGAAAATGAAGTTGAATTGTGTTTTAATTCATCTATAATAGATTCAATATATTTTTCTTGTACTAAAACAGAAGTAATAATAATCATTAGTTTATTTAAATAAATAATGGAACTACATAAAACATTTTAACTAAGTTCAGTAAATTTAGTTTATTACATAGGTGTATTAATAATTCAATTTTAATGTCTTACCAAACTCTTTTTGTGTCCAACCACGTCCGTCAACTGTACAATCTTTTGAATTATCATTGTTGTTAGGTTTACTATAGTAAACAGTTATAACTGTTGGTGCACTTTCTATTAACCCATTTGTTTTTGAACTCCTCACAGAATTGAAGTACTTGGTGTATAATTTTTCTTTAGGATTTCTATTTCCATCAATTTTCATGAAATATGTGTCCTTAATTAATTTCCTACCTATATTGTTATAATATGAAATAATATAAATACCTTAATTTCTGTTTTGAACATGGCTACTATTTGATTGGCCATAGACTTTTCAAAGCCAATTGACATTGATAAATGTTTTGTTACCATATAGCTGATAATTAAGTCTACTAATGTTGATCTTATTCCATCATTAATAGTTTATTAAGTTTCTTATAATAATAAGTATTTTCAACACAAACTGGAGCATGTACTATTTCATTAGATACATTACTTTTAACAACGGTGTCATTAATGCTTATATTTTTTTGCCATTTTATTAGTTCAGATTCAAATAATATTATAATCCCCAAAGGAAATTTTTCTAATAATTTATATACATGTTCTAATCTCATAAGTGCCATAATCTTGAGATCAATTAGTTGGTCTGCAAAGAAAAATAATAATAATTTATACATCATGTAAATACTATAGATAATCAACATATATGTAATTAATTATTAATCATAATATTTATATATATATTATTACCAATACACGTCTGGTATACACATAGTAAGTTCCATTTTGTTAATTGATTTTTAAGTTTAAGCAAATCATCTTCAGTGGGATAGTTAATAAGGTATGTTATAAATGCTATCATTAATTTCCATGTCTAAATCAATTAATTGACTTTGTAATTGGTCTGTACCCTGCAGCACATATTTGTATAAATTAATATTAGCTAATAACAGACACACCCTAAAAACAATTATATTTATTCATTATAGTGTTGATAACTAAAATCAGAACTCACAAAACTAGATGAAGACTGCCCATACATATCATCAGAACTCAAAATATTATTTATGTGTACCTTATTCTTCACAAAAATACTACAAATCTAACGTGTAATACAAATACAAACTAAAACTGAAATAGTATAAAAATTTAAAGTAGGTAGGTATATCCAAATAAATTAATTTACAAAATTAACAAATATAAAAAATAAAAATTATAGTGTAATGAATATTTTAGTAAAATTGTTTCGAACGGACCATTTTTTTACCTGTTGAAATATTTGTGACATTAATGGGAGGTCCACTAAAATCATTTACACAATAAATAGAACTATTAACAATATTTTCATCATCACTAATATCATAAGATTCATTATGTGTATCAAATGTTTTTAACAATACTGATTCACCAAAAATGAAAACTGTGTCATAATTTCTACGAACGGTGATTATTTCAACTATTTTAAATAAATGCATTTCATTAATACATTTTCTTAAACAATATCCTTCTTTATAAACTACACCGTTAAACTCCAATTGATTGTAACAGAATATCTGAGATGGATTTAAATCTAATGTTCTACATATCTCTAAAATGTTTTTGATTTGAACTTATCCGAACTACGAGGCATATTACAATATTCGTTTAACCTATATTATATACTGCACTTTTATGTACAAAATCATATTATTCATTCTTTAATAATCTATCTGTACTTTGTCACTTTGTGTCTATTTGATGTGTGTTGTGTTTTGGTCCATAAATGTCTCTGATATAAAATGCATAGCTGCATAGGTACCTATTGCATAGAATCGTCTTGCAAATCGTCAAAGGCAATGATTTTTTTTTTTTAATTACCTTTGTTTAAAATTAGTTTATTTTATTAGAATATTTATTTTTAAATACAATTGTATGAATTCAGATTTGACAAAACCTAACATTTAATAATTATTTAATAAATAGGTACTATCAAATTTATTCTTTTATTTTTTTTATAGTTTTATACTTGTATCTATTTGTTGTTTGGAAATTGCCAATTGGAATTGGAATAAATATGTCTTCAAATAAATAAATAAAACAAAGTTCATTGAAATAATTTTTCCATCAGATCAAACAGTCGAAACTCCAGCATTACAAATTCTTGAACCACATACAACAAAAAAACGTTCTTTATCATCCAATATTGATGAATCAATGTGAAAAACATGTGATTCCACGGGTATGATTAAAAATGGATTGTTTATTTATGTGTGTGCATGTCACATGTCCCCTTGTATATTCGATTTGCTTCAAATTCTAGCAACACTCCCTGTATTGACTGCGTCAAATGAAAGATCATTTTCGAAACTAAAGTTAATAAAAACGTACTTACGTAATACTATTTCTGAAGTAAGTGTTAATATTTTATTTTTTTATTTGTGTAAGATTATTAAGATTTATGTTTTTTTTTTTTTTTCTAGAATAGACTTAATGCATTAAGTCCATGGATTGGATATGATGTCCATTTATAGAGAAGATTGTCTCTTACCAAAAGTCATTTTAGATGAATTTTGTAAAAAAAAGACGCTTGGATTTTGTACTTTATAATAATAAAACTATTTTTTATTCTTATAAAAAATTATTTCTTTATATCAGCATCCATCTATATTATGTTAGAATTATTGGACCACCCCCAGAAAAAAATTGAAAATACGCCACTGTCGAGCGAACACTTTTAAATACTTCACCTTCTCCAATAAGCATAATGAGTGATGAGTACCACTTTTACGCATAATTTCCTCCTAAATTATTTTAAAATAATCATTATACTTATATATTATATTATAATATTATACTTATCATTATACTATCATTATACAATTTTATAACACGAAAATTCCGGTAAAACACGATTGCGTACGATTTTTATTTGCAGCTTTGAAACGCTGTTGCCATTTGCTTTGAACTTATAGAAGATAGAACAGGGGTTACTTCCATAATTTTTTTTTTATTATTATTGAATAACTATTTTTTATTATATTATTTTAACATTTAATTATTTTTTATTATTTTATTTTGTATACTATATTATAACATAGGTATTTATCGAAAATTGAGATTTTTAAGTGGKACCATAACTTAAGTCATTTTTCCAAAATTTAAATTTTACTGATCAAAAATAAAAACATAAATTTGGCAACGTTGCACAGTAAATCGTAATTCGTATGCAATCGTTAGACTTTTGAGGTAAATATTAAAGTTAATGGTTTAACGTACGCAATCGTGTTTTCAAAAAGAAACATCGTACGCAACCGTGGGAAACCCCGAAAATTCACAAATAACGTATTTTTTTCTTGATAAATATTTAAAGATAAATAAATAGTAAATACACACTGACGCTGATTTTTTTTTACTAAATTATTTAAATAATTTTGGGGTAGCAAAATGATACTCTTGCGACCCCATAAAAATGTTTGTGGTCACGACCCCTACCCCTCGCTACCCCATAGTTACGCCACTGAGTCCTAGGATAAAATGTACATGATAGTTACCATCAGTGGCGGCGCCAAAGGCGGGCCCGAGCGGGCCATGGACCGTCTTGAAAACTTATGGTAGGCCCGCCTTGAAATTTCGATTTTCATGAAAGTTTGAATTTAAATTTTCAAATATTATTACGTAAATAGTTTTAAAAATTTTAAATAGATGTATAATGCCAAGGTAATCACAAGTACACAACTGTAGATTATTTACGTATTACACTATTACGTCTTATATTTTGTGTCGGTGGAGGAAATGGTTATTTATATAATATTATAATGGTTATTTGGTTATCAATTATCTTAGTACGAATCTAATTTTAGAACTAATCACTGGAGTCGTCTAAAAAATACAGTATTTTGGATAATATAATAAGTGAATTAGATAAACGGTTTAATAATAATAATTCTAATATTTTGCGTGGAAGAAGTGCCTTTAATTCAAAGGGTAACCATTTTTTTGATTATGATTTAATTGTACCTTTAGCAAATCAAAGAAAAGTTCAAATTAAAAATTACAGATGTTTTTATTTTTCATGCAGTTTTATGTGAATATCAAATAGCTTTTACTGAAATGTTTAAACTTTGTTCTATTCCCATAACTATACATATATCCTCATCTGCTCGTGAACGTACATTTTCATGTTTGAAACGAATGAAAAGTTATTTAAGGAACTCCTTGCTAGACAATAATTTATCGAATTTGAGTGTTATATCAGTAGAAAAAAGTGAGGCTAAATTACTAGATATAGGTACCTAGATGAAATTATTGATACTTTTTCAAATTCCCATAACAATCATAGAATCATTTTAAAATAACTGCTCAATTATGATGATAATCATGATGATCTATTAAAAATTAAAGTACTTATTTTGAATTGTATAATTTTTAAATATATATAATATGTAATGTGTTATATAATATAATATTACTTAAATTAAGAAAACATATAAGTTTACTATTTTATTAATTACATTACCTAAAGGTATTAATCTTTATTTTTTTTTTTTACCTATTCTTTTTAAATATGAATGTCAGGAATAACTAACCTACCTGCGATCCGAAACTCCTGGTGTTCAGTATTCACTGAGTTCGGATCGTGGAGGACACCCTACCCATTGCCTCAATTTATGTCCTACCATGCAACTGTGCCTGCCCTAATATATCTTGACCTCCCTTTGGCCCTCCCTGGAAAAATGCCTGGCGCCGCCACTGGTTACCATATTATGAAGAAACTATATCTACTCCATTATTTTCTAGAAAATTAATTTCATTCATCAAACTTTGCATACATAAATCATTTTCAAATTCATTTAGGTCTATTGATTTTATTAGAACGGCTAAAAATTTTTTAGTTTGGAACTATTATCAGATAATGGAAAACTACAATAAATGGCTGACATTTGTTGTACCATGGAATGAGATCCTAATGGATTATTAATTTCTACATCATCAATATACAGAAAATATGGTATAAATATTTGAATTGCGGAAAAAAGGTTAGGTACTCTCTAAAACGAAAATATCCTAAATCATCATGGTGAATATCAACTCCGTATAACATCAACAAAATATTATAATACAATAATGTTATAGGTACTTATAAGTTATAAGGCTATTAGGTAAACATAACGTAAAAATTTAAAGGTACATTTTCAGTATTGGAACGTGGAAGCTATGTATAATAGGGTGTGTCACGAAGTTCTGGCCCATATTTCCATATGTCAGAACTTATGATACACTCGGTACATACGAGACGTATATTTTAGAGGGACTAAGTCTTCGGGCAATAGCAACGCGACTTCTTCCTATTGACTATTGTCATAAATGTGCAAATGACACGTCTTTGTACAGAAACATATATTTGAACTGTATTATATGTATATATAATATACAAATTTATTGGTACTATTCTGTTATCCCTACTACCGCGACTCTCAATTCTGTTATCTAAACTACCTCGCCGATGCCGCGACTACCTACTCAATTCTGTTATTTCGACTACTATAGTACTATCCAGATAGTTCCGTATTTTAATACATAATACACATCATGAATTGCCATTTATGTAATAATGTATATTAGTATAACGTTTATTATTAGCAATCACATAAATTATCACAGCAGTGGAGAGTTAGAGTATAAAACCACGATTTAAGATAGTATTAACTTAAATCGTGTATAAAACATAAAATCATCAAAATTATCACAAAACGTCAAATTACAAATTCTAAAATTATCGTATTAGTGGAAAATTATTATAATATATAACATAAAGTCATCAAAATTATCAATTAAACGTCAAGCGGTAGTATGGATAACAGAAAAGTACCTACCGTCAACCGGGTCAACTTGGGGCAAAAATATTATCTTTTAGTTTTACCTCCATAACGGTATCTTCTCAATTAATTAATGTGAGACAAGTATTCTGTTGTTATCTTAGAAATATTTAAAACCATTTTGCAAGTGTCGCAGCATCAAATTTTCAACGTAAGTATTAATTTTTATTAATTTTTTTTTTACTATTATCTATCGTTTTGAAAAGGTCCGAAAACTTACACTAATACTCATTGAATGAGACGTTTAACGTTTAACATAAAAATTGATAGTAAAAAATATGTTCAGATGTGTGTTAAATTTTCTAATCTACATAATAAATTATTATAATCCTGCATACATATCTGTAAATTGCATTTTACTTATTTAGTCCATCTTGGGCCACTATATTATTCATCCATGGTCAAATTAATAATTAGGATAAATTTAAAAAAGTTAATTCCATTTAAACAAGACTAACTTTAATACAATTTGGTCTGAATAGTACCTACGGTTATATTTTTAACTTTGTACGGATGGGTGAATGTCGAAGAAAAATTGGTGAAAATTATAAGAACAAGAATGTTTTTATTTTTTTGTATATGTTAATATACACTCACCAGGTACAAAATATATTTTTTAAATTCAAAAAATTATCTAGTATTTAAAAAAAATTTAAAATAGCGCCCCAAGTAAATTATAAAATAGATTTTTCATAAGAAAAACATGAATGCCCCATGATGTAAATATTTGGTACAACATGGGACAAGAAGAAAAATAAAAAAAACACATAGAAGGAATAATTTGTATGGTTTAAATGCAACAGAAATTAATAAATCAAACCTTAACTAAAAAAAATGTTATATTGAAAATACCTATAGAATAATTAAACATTAAACTTAAAGTTATTTATAATAAAATTTCAAAACTGCCCCAAGTTGGCCTGGTTGACGGTATTTATTATTATTAATCTTCTTCTCTTCGTGTTCGGGTAATTATTTATTATCATGTGGATATAGGTATGACGCACGTCCGGTTTTTCCTGCTTGTGGATTCTGGAATCCGGATATAAGATAGTTTTTGTGTGACCATTTTTGGGAAAAAAAAATCAATAAAAACATCGTCAATGACTACTGGACGACGCTACTAAATAATATTATATTATAATAACATTGTACACATTTTACTCGTTCCGCACGTGATGATAATATTGTATTGACTATTGCCACATTATAATAATATTATACAGAGTGTCCCACAGAGATCTGACATTCTGACAAATGAAATAACTTTTGTTCTAATCAATATTTTTGAAAAATTTTCTTTAAATATAATTCATAGACACTTGCGCTACATTTTTAGAATAATTTATTTTTTATTTTTTAATACTGAAAATAAAAAACTTAAAAATTGATGAAAAATGTTTTCAAAATATTTAATATGGCCAATTTGTAAATCTGATTTTTAGAAAAATTTATATGGTAAAAACACTTATTTAAGTCAAATGGGAGATTTTTTACAATTTTTTTTAAATATCAATATTTTCGTTAAGTAAATTACAATCTAGTTTATGTTAGAAACCTTGTAATTTCAAATAATAATAAAGTTTTTTAAAAATATTTTATAAGAACATTTTTAAATAAGTGCATGTTAAAATCTAATATTTTTTATCGTATTTATTTTAATAATATGTGATGTATAATCTATAAATTCTTATAATATTGATATTTAAAAAAATTGTAAAAAATCAGCCTTTTGACTTAAATAAGTGTTTTTACCATATCAATTTTTTTTAAAATCAAATTTACAAATTGGCTATATTGAATATTTCGAAAAAAAATTTGTCAATTTTTAAGTTTTTTATTTTCAGTATTAAAAAATAAAAAATGTGTTCTAAAAATGTAGCGCAAGTGTCTATGGATTATATTTAAAAGACATTTTTAAAAAATATTGATTAGAACAAAAGTTATTTCATTTGTCAGAATGTCAGATCACTTTGGGACACTCTGTATACCTTATTATTCAGTTATTGTCATCTTGATTGTGTATGGGTACCTCGTAMCTATATTCATTTTTAACATACTTATCTTCCTATTGAGGAATAATTATTCATAACGTACCTATTTCAGGGAGATTTTTTGCTCAAGGTTAAGCTTTGATTCTATTTCTAATCTCTATATTATCTATTACCCCTTATCAGTTTAAGGGGGTTATGAAAATATTGGGTAAATTCTTTAAAAACGTAGTACCCCCTCACCAATCTTATAAATACGTACTATTCGTCTACGTCGTCGGGCGCAGTCGCCGTCAATCGTCGTATAGTCATACTTTTACAGTTTCACCATTATTAATAGTCCAAATTCAAACACTATCCACGCGGTTATATTATTATACAACGCATCCTGGCACTATAGATACTACACCTACATTGATAACTGCGGTTACATCAAGAGTGGACGACACGCATGATTGGGGTACATGTCTGAACAAGACACATATATTCTATGGACTGGGTGTGTGGGTCTGTACTTTGTAATATATTATGAAATATGGAACAACAAAATATAATAACGTTCCGTGAAAGTCATTCCCCTCCTTTCAATCGACGCCTTACATTCACGGTCGACCTTTCGGCTTTCGCCGTCCTAAATCGTAATTCGTAATGCCGTACGCACAACCACTGGCGCCGAACGCGCGTAGGTACTTTGAGGTAGTTCAATTTTGAACTTCCTTCAAAATTCGGTGGGTGGGTGAAATAATACAGTATACTTCCTAATTTTGCTGCTATGATTGTATTAAACACTGTAATGTCATTCTCATTAGTATAAATTGTGTAAACATCGTTTCGCCTGTTTCTCGGTCGTTTGAAGGGATTGGTGGGTCAATATCGAACTATTTGAACTACCTATTTTAATTTAATTCGGTGCCACACTGCACAACTATTACTTATAACTTGTATGCCGGTATTTTTATTTTTATTTATTTCATTGCACTACAAATATGAGTATTTGGCCCCTATGATAAGACTCGTGAGGTACTTTAAAATATCACATTATGTGATTCGCATATACATGGTTAATGCGATCGTGGCGTAACAAACATATAAATACGACATGACAATGTCAAGCAGACGCCTGTACATCGTTCGCAGGATCGTTATATTTTGTTTTTTGTAATAACGACAAACGAGTAAACGACTTTGAAATAGGTGTTAAAATATTATTATGATAAAATATTATATGGAATTCCCTTAATAAAAATGTTTGAACAGAGAACACCGCCCTAAAATGGTGGTCAAATTCCGATGGTTGGAAGTAAAGTAATTAAGTAAATCGGAATAATGCCGCCAACGAGATCATTCGATTTTTAAGGAGAAAATCACGAGGGATTTTTTTCCCGTCCACTCCTCGACAGTGGCGCTGCCCAGTGTCGGCGGCAGCGTCGTCGCGCGCTACGACAACACAACAATAATGACTATCACATATTTATTATTTTTTTATACGCACTCATATTTACTATCGAAGTAGTAGTTGTTGATATTGGAGGCAAGTGACGTGCATAATGCCAATACTTAAATAATATAGTGATTAAGTGATTACTGATTACGACGGCGACCTGCGAGTGAGTTGAGTTGTTGTTCCCAAGACCGTTTTTGTTCGTCCTCTCTCCTCTCTCCACCGCCGCCGAAAAGTAGATACAGGTAGGCACTGACGTCGTGGCCCACCCGTTGCACTGATAATAAATGGTCTGATCGACCGCCTTCGAATCCGATAGCCCAGAAAGGTCCGCAAGAGGATTTTTCAACGGATCCGGCCGAACATCGTCGTCAACGTTGGTGTCGCGCGTCTGGTTTTTAACTGGTAGTAATATAACATTAATCATTATTACTATTGTTGCAACACTAACGCAACTGAACACGACGCCCTCGCCGCCATCGACACCGGAACAACACATTCGCGAGTGTCACGTACGGTCAACAATTATAATTCATCAACTGCGATGATGATGTGTTGTCGATAACCACCACGTATAGTCGTTGGCAGCGAATGAATAATTTTTGTTTGTTTGTTTCCTATCTCGAATAGTCGATCACTGCAAGTACAATCGCGTTATCACTACATTCGCTTCAAAGGAAATATGTGGAAAGTACGAGAACTCGCCGATAAAGTGTGAGTATTGAATATGAACAATAACTTCCGGCTATCTGTCCCATCTGATGATGGGCCATCGCGGTGTTAGTAATGATCGTTAACAATTGAAATAATGTGTGCGTTGTATGTTAATAGGACCAACGTAGTCCTCAACTACACAGAAATTGAAGCTAAAGTCAGAGAAGCCACCAACGATGAAGCTTGGGGTCCAACAGGTAAAATATTTCTTCACTATACATTTCGTTTCTTTGTGTATTTTTTCATGTAATTTATTTTTCTATGGTATCTAAAATTAAAAATTATAGTTAAAAAATCATTCACTTTTCATTTAGTTAAAGAATATGTATCAATTTTCATGGATACTAAATATTTAAAACCTAAGGTTTTATTCTACAGAAAATTTAACTTAACTATTCTGTTATTAATTTATTTTTTGAATTGCTTAAATTTACATATAATTTATTTAGTATAATATACTCAGTTTCTCAGTTTAAATCTGATGTTTAAGCTGGATTTTTAGAGCAATTTTTAAGTTACCTGATAATCAATACTATAATATTTGTTATGCTATACTGTGTGTTTAGTATATACCTAGATCTTATTTCAGTATTTTAAATTTATAGGTAATCTAATGCAAGAAGTAGCACAAGCAACATTTATGTTTGAGCATTTCCCTGAAGTCATGGGAATGTTATGGAAACGAATGTTGCATGAGAACAAGAAAAATTGGCGAAGGACTTATAAAGTGAGTGTTATTAAATAATGAGTATTTATGGATGTATTAAAATTAATAAGATAGTCAAATATTAAAAACATTTATATATTTGTGAATATTTTTTTAAACTTTTTATTCATCATATTATTATTGAACTTAGTGACTTTTATTGCAATCAAATTAATTTGTCATTAATTTCTTTATTAGTTATAACATAATCACATTTCTCTAATTTTTAACTTCATTATTGATAAAAACCATTATTAAATTCATTACGCATGTTCAATATAATTATTTGATTGTTTTTATATAAGTGTACCATATGTATATAGTATAGTAAAAACCATGTATGATATAATATAACATTGGCCTCATAAGTCATAATAACTGTAAAATAATCTAAATTTTTCTGAATATTCAATTTAGGGTATTTACTATTTAGTATTTATGAAAATATTATATAATAATTTTTAATTTACCTATAAATAATTAACTAATATTCTCTATGATAATTTTTTTTTAGAGTCTATTATTATTAAATTATTTAGTTAAAAACGGATCTGAAAGAGTGGTTACATCAGCACGTGAACATATTTATGATTTAAGAGGATTAGAAAACTATTCTTTTGTTGATGAATTTGGTAAAGACCAGGGAATCAATATAAGGTATATTAATTGTTGTCATAAAATTTAAATAACTTCAAAAAAATTAGATAAAAATGTATTGCAATTTATTATTTATAGGCACAAAGTAAGGGAGCTGATTGATTTTGTACAAGATGATGATAAGTTGCGAGAAGAAAGAAAAAAAGCTAAAAAAAACAAAGACAAATATATTGGACTGTCCAGTGAAGCCATGGGTTACAAAGGATCAGGTAATGTTATATATTTTATCAGTTGTTTACTAATTTTAACAGTAATAATTTTATAAATTAGGAGTTGAGAAGTGGGATGAAGCACCAAGGTGGAAAAAGGACAGTAATAATGAATTTAGTGACAAAAAAAGTAGTAGTACACTAGGTTTTGAAGAATCACCTAATAACAGGTAAATATTATATATTTATATAAAGGTAGGTAAGGTATATAACCTATATATACTTAATTTGGGTTAAAAAGGAACCTCGGCACTACCAGTTTTTTTGGGTGATAGTCAAACCGTCTGTCTCCCAACCTAGACTATCTTCTTTATTAAAAATTTATTTTTGGGTTTAGGTACCTACCAATGTTATTATTATGTATCACAAATTACATTTTTTGTGATCAAAAAAATATAAATACCTATGAAAATTGTTGTATTTGTTATCTGTTAATTTTTAATGTAATTCTAACTAGACTAGTTCTGTTAGCACCTCTACTATATTTTAATTTTAATCATTTATTTTTTTTTTTTGCACATTAATATGTCTAAATACCTACATAAATAATATTATAAAATATAAAATAATAAACACAGTAAGAAATTGGGGAAAACTCTGTAGTATGAAAAAATGTAGTCAAATACATGTAAACAGTATGACGTTATTTAATGAGTTAATGTCAAGTATAATGTAAGTAACAAATAATTACCAATGTAACTATGTAAGTAATTAATGAAGTAATTTATGAAGTATACTACTATACTATGAAAAAATATTGATTACTAGAGTGTTATCAACTGGTATGTCTTTCTCTCAAGACATTATCATCAGCGCTTCCAAACGATCTTCAATCATTGTGCTACGTAAGCGAGTTTTAATTAAGGGGATTGGAAGCGGTGATTTTCTGTCTTTGTCTAACACACGTGGGACATACAATACGCCTGACAAAAATTAARGTRYTTCTAGTTGTTCGATTTAAAATATGTAAAGATATGTTAATTGATATACATGTTTACTTTGCATCGGTCGAAGCACTTTTTCAATTGTAGCAATATTTAGATAAGAATAAATATTTTAAATTTTATAAATTTGTCAAATTTTTTTTATTAATTATATTAAAAATATGCTTTGACTGATGCAAAGTAAATTTGTATACCAATTCAAAAATCGTTACATATTTTAAATCGAGCAACTAGAAGTACTTTAATTTTTATCAGGCGTATTGTATGTTTCACGTGTGTTAGACAAAGACAGAAAATCACCGCTTCCAATCCCTTTAATTTCAACTTTGAAAATGCTCTTTCTGGCGATGCTTAATAGATGACATTATGTGATCTTCAGATGTTTCATGCCTAATTATTTTAGCAGGCCCATTTTTCCATAAATTGAATCCATGTTATGTCCAATGCTAGTTAGATTGTTTTGTTTTAAATAAAGCACAATAATGGCAAAATATTTTATCAATTTTTATAGAGTAAGACAACCATTTTTGTTTCATTACACTTCCATCACTTTTCCAATACCAAGATTCATGAAAGGACCAACCAATCTTATCCTTTGGAAAGTGTTTGTCAGGTAGATCACTTGTCAAAGGCTGTGAAGGTCCTTTTTTTTAAAAAAACTCTAAGATCTGGAGTAAGTTTTTCTGTTTTGGTGAATATAACAGAATCGCCATCCACTACAAACATAAAAATAGTCAATTATAATATAACTTTTTTGTAATAGTAATATAAAGCACTATATATAGCCTATATATTCTCACTTTCTAAGTCATTGAGAACAGTTCACTGAACAGTGAACACTGCTACAGGTGGGGGTCAGGGGACATGAATTACATAACATTATAATTAATAACGTATTGGCGCACAATATCTATCCTGCTAACAATTGTTACGATAATAAAGGTAAGTTCGGTGGAAAAGAATAATAATGGGTATTGGGTACGCTCATGTATGAAATTGTATGTAAAAAAATGCCTAAAATTCTGTGACGTTATATTTGTGTAAATTTTTTTTTATAGTGATGAAAATGATATAGTCGATTCAGAACCAGAATTTGATTTGCCTCATAAACCTCCTGCTGAAGCATATAAAGATCGTAGTATGTCACCTACCAAAATTCAAAGTCCTGCTAAACATAGAACACCTATTAAACGCATTGATTTGGGTGCAGCTGCACATTATGGAAAGACACAAAGTGTGATCAACTCTCCAGTATCTACTAATAATCCTTTGGATACAGGGACCAGCTCTATTGATTTGTTAAATATTGTGGGCAACAGCAATAATCAATCAAATGATTTTGGAGATTTTAATGCAGTTTTCAGTGCTCCTTCTAATACTGACAGCGTCATTGAAAATAATAGGTAACTTTATATTTATACTTAATAAATTGAGCTTGGAAATAGTGTTACTTAATGAATCATTCATTCGGCCTATGGGTCTTAACGTGATGGCTCATGATCGGCACGGCTTCAGAGGGGTAATCGGAAAAAAAATCCTCGACCCTAGGAAAAAAAAATCCCCAGACTACAGTATTACTCACAACCTCATTCACAAATATTTTTTAAACGTTAATTGGTATCTATAATTACCCCATTATTAATATTTAATTACAAATACAAATATTATACCTATTATATTATACTATATTATTACATTATAACATTCAATAAATTAATATAGTTGTTAGAAAAACAAAGTTTTTATTAAAAAATTATATTTTTAAATATTTTTTATCCTTATAATTTTAACTAAAAATATCTATAAAAAATACCGAGTACCTAGTATGTCCCATAGAGTATTTTAGATTTTTTTCAAACACTTATGATAAACCTTGTTTTAAATTTTCAATACTTAGCTATAGAAATTGAAATTTTTTTGCATTTTTAGAAAATGTTTGTAATTTTTGGTATTAATTATTTTTGTTTTCCGTTATAATTACATTTAAAAATGTCAACAGTTTTTTCTCTGATATACAGGACGTCCCGCGAGGATTTACCCATTGCGATATCTCACGAAATAATGGAGATATCRAAATTCTGGTTTTATAATAAGATTCACTAGGATAAGAACTACAATTATTTCATTTATTAATTTATTTTAATGTTTTTGTAAAAAATGTATTTTTTTTATTTAATTATTTCCAAAAAAATTAAAGATAACCATCTTGTAGAGTTTATTTTTCTGAAGATATTGACGTTTATAAATTTTATTTTCATTAATTTCCTGATTTATAATATTTTTTCTAGTTTTGAAGAAATAAAATATGATAATAATTTATAACTATTTGGAACACGGAAGGTATTCTCGGCCGGCCGTATGGGAATGTGCGCGGCGCGGCGGGTCACATGTTTGATAACATTACTGTGTTAAATACCTAATTCGCAATTTTTCTCGAAACAAAAAAAATTATTAAAAATCAGGAAATTAATGAAAATTAAATTTTGAAACGTCAATATCTTTAGAAAAATAAACTCTACATAAAAAAGCTATCTTTAATTTTTTTGGAAATAATTAAATAAAAAAATATATTTTTTAACTTTTTTACTAAAACATTAAAATCAATTAAAATATGAAATAATTGTAGTTCTTATCCCTGTGAGTCTTATTACAAAACCAGAATTTCGATATCACCATTATTTTGGGATATATTGCAATGGGTAAATCCTCACGGGACACTGTATAAAGTCATAATCATAACGTTTGATTTATAAATAGCTTTAAAATATTTAAAATATTTTGAAAATGTTATCATACATTCATACATAGAAAACATCATATAAACATTTGTTGAAAATTTCAAAAAAACTACAAACAATTATATTATTATATGTTTTTACAGTGAATAGGTACCTACGTTTAGTGATTATTGTTTGATAATTATTATATTATTATTTATATTTTCTATATGCTATGTTTTTGCTGTGAGTAGGTGTTAATCAACGTTTAAAAATATATGTTCAACCATTTTCATGAGGCTGTGAGTACTATTGCGGTGTGGGGATTTTTTTTCCGCAATTCCTCCAGAGGATATCACCTGCGTCCAGTTAAGGTTCTCAGGATTTATGTGAGATGGCTCATGGCCCATGGCGGGGAGGATGTTCGAATGCGGAACGGGTTCGCCGCCAAAACCATGGACGCTCCAAGTCGCGCAAGATATCGAAGCTCCGCGCGACGGGTTCCGCACGGTAGTCCCGCGCCGCCGTCAACTGCCGGCGAGCCGGCCATCGCGAACCTTTTTTTACAATTAGGTTTCGACTTATATTTCTGGATCCAATGACCGACATTTAAACAACTAAAACACACACGATTCTTACGGGCTCATTTGGTACGACATTTTTCCGACCAAGACTTAAAACGCGTACATACGCCTAGCGCGCGCGTGATTCGGTACAACACGGACAACTCGCGTCCCCCTTTGCCGTTACAAACGACATCGGTCGGGGACCGTTCGACATCCCGCCGTAATCTCCCTTCTTGCGCGCCGTACCTGACGGCTTGCCCGCCTTGGACGCTGGCGCAGCAGCAGCGCCAACCTTCTGCGGGTCAGTGACAAGCTCCAATATAGATACGCGCGTGGGGACAAATTTTAACAACTCCACAATTGACGGAAACTCCGTCTTACTGTCCGACTCGAATAACTTGCGCGTAGCGACAGGCAAACGTCTGAACGCGACCGTAAATAAAATAAAGGAACCCATATTCGGTACATTGAGCGCTTCGATTAGCGAAATATTTTCGTTGAACGTACTCACAAAATTATTTAGGTCCGATAACGATTCCTGCGACATGGCCGGAGAGTTTAACAATTTATTACTAATGACGTAGCAACTAATCGCGGTCGATAAAACCGCTCGGATAACACAGACCATGCGAGCACATAATTATCTGTGGAAACCGGAATACCACGTAACGCGTCACCCTATTAGATAACACATTTTATCGATGTTTGGAATATCACGCGAATCAACTTGTTCCCTAAATCTATCGCGAAATGTTGGCCATAATCGGAAATCCCCGTTGAACTCCGGGAGCGGAATTTTTGGTAACCGTGCCGCCAGTTTTGTGCACGCTAGCAAGGGGTTCTGCGCTCATTGACCGGTTGACCCTAAAGCGTCCCATACACGATACAATTAATCGCACGACATATTGTACAACGGTTTTATTTAATAGTTGTACCAATTTCAAATTAGCAGTACGCGATATCCGACACATTAATACGACTTGTTGTACTACACAGTGGCGGCGCCAGAATTTTAATACCAGGTGTGCCAGGCTGGGGCCCAAATTTTTTAGAAAGGGTCAAATTGTTGACTTGATATTTAATATATATTAATATTAACAATAGTGATGACAGGCAATTGCGCAGAGGGGGGGTAGGAGGGTCAACTTCCAAGTTTTCAATTTTTTTTACAATTCATCGTGTTAACTTACTAAAACAGTGATTTGTAAAAATGTATTAATAGTATTTATTTCCTAACAAAATATATATTCATGTAAAAGTATATTCATCAAAAGTACATAAAAATCGAGATAAAAATAGAATGCTTTCCCTTCTATTTTCCTTATCATAGTTGGTTAATAATCTAATCCCGTTGTTCATGGAATTTTCAACAAAATTATTAAAAACATTGATTAATATTTAATAATAACTATATAGTAAGTATAATGTATTATTTTCGTATTCAGCCGCTGGAAAATACTCGTTATTTATGAGGCTTGAAATCATAGTGCATAGTTTAAAAGTTTAAACCCATTCAAAATGTTGTTCACGCCATCTATTATGACTTAATATTTTCATATTTTGATTTATTCAAGAGATATTTTTTAGTATTCTAGTATGATTAAATTTAATTTTTGGGGTGGGCCACAAGGGGGCCTGGGATTTTTTAAGGTGGGCCCGGGCCCACCTTGGCGCCGCCACTGGTACTACAAGTTGTTCAACTCATCGTATATTATATTGGTAGGAGCGTCATTACGATTTGTCGCATTTCAGACTTGTCGTACGATAGATTTTATGCAAGTTCAAACGTCATCCGTCATACGTTACGATAATCTTTTGTGAAATCGTATCAAACAAAGTTGTACAATCTGTTGTACGATTAATTGTATCGTGTATGGGCCTACTGTATGGGCTCTGCTGTCAAAAATGTATACGCCGATACCGATCCTACGAGTTGTGCGGTTGAAGGCTGCAGCGGGGACAGGTTACTCAATAATATGTACTCACAAGATAAATGTTTAGGGTCGGAAACACGTATATTTTGCAACAAATAATTATAATTCAATTAGCGGGCGCCCAAAATAGTAATATCAACTTAAAACTAAATACCATAGCTGGTGAACAATAATTATATTTAAACAGCCCACTGACACGTGGGACTGAAACAAATAGACCGGAATACGGCTACTACGTGACTCGGCGACTACCGGACATCGGTACYTCGCCGGAACAGCGACGGCGGACAAATCTTCGGCTCGTCGCCCGACGATGATGGCCCGTGGTTCCACGCGAGTAGCGCGAACGCGAAAATGAAATAATCCGCGGCAAACACTCGCGATCACGCGGAGGGTAAAACGGAACACGCACGCGGTGTAAATAAATGAGAGTGAATACTCGAGGTGAGCTTAGCGTCGGACGTCGATCACGATGCTCATACGCGAATTTTATTATTGCACTCGGCGCAACTGGTACGTGCCTATCGCGACAACGCAAAACGTACTTCAATAGGTACTAGTAGGTACCGACCGTGAACGTTGATCACAGCTCGGGCTCACGGACACTTCGGGTTCACAAGAGGTTTTCACGACACACAAGGAAACGATAACGAGAAAGGTGCMCCATGTTTAGCCGTCGGAAAATTACAAAAAAGTTCGCGACGGCCGATGACCAGCTCGCCGGCCGTTGACGGCGACGCGGGACTACGGAGGGGGAACGCGTCGCGCGGAGCTTCGACATTTTGCGCGACTTGGAGCGTCCATGGTTTTGGGCTTTGTTTTGGCAGCGAACCCTTTCCGCGTTCGAACACTTAATTACCTAACCCTAACCTAAGTATCAACACTTCATTAACAATTGTAAAAAAAAATTTGTGATTTGCATCCTTTTTAAATAGATATCTGAAGAAAACTTTTAAAATTCAACTGCAAAGTACATTTAGCATTTAGCATTTATTATAATTTTAATAGAATGTTTTTTCCCTYGTTTCAGTACCAATAGCGACGAATTTGCTGATTTTAGTTCAGCATTTACCCAATCTGTGTCTTTAAACAGCAATTCAACTAATTTATGTAAGTGTATTTTTCTATTGTTCAATATCTGTTGAATAAAATAAAAATATGTTTTTTTTTAGCTAACCAAAGAATTATTTCCAATTCTGATCTCTTAACATCGTTACCACAGTCATCTACCAATGGAACAAGCCGTAACTTGTTAGATTTGAACTTTGACGCTTTAGATAACACAGGTAATATGTCTATGATCTATTGACTATTATTATTAACAAAAGTATTATTAGCTATTTCAATTTCCTAAATTTTATTAGAACAGTTRAATAACATTTTATAATTTTAGTAGAAGTTGGTTTCTTTTATAATTTATACAGATAAGGTTAGAAAACTGGATTTTTTTTATTATAACTTTTCAGCAACTGGAATGATGTTGAAGACACTTCTAGAATCCATTCACCAACGTTCAGATTCCAATATTAAAAGATTTTTTCAAGAATTTATTGAATATTTGCCAGGTCCAATGACTCCACAAAAATTTACAAAACATGATTGTTACCCAAACTATTCTCAAGTTATCAAAGTATACAGCCAAGTACTTGAAATAATTTTAGAACAAACAAATTTTGTTGATTATATCGATTTGATTTCACCAATATTTGCCCCAGACGGCGGTACTTTAGAAATGCTAGACATATCACTACATGTTTTATTAAACTATGTCACTTTAAATGCATTATCTCTTAAAACTGATTATGCCATTGAATTAATCAGCTTAATATTAAAAAGTGATTTGATAAAATCATCATTGATTACTGAAACTTTAAATTCTAATCATAATCGTTTTGTGGTTGTCATTGAATTTTTATTGTCATTACCACATAGACTAGCTAACAAAGTTGGGAAGAATATACCTAAATTGTTTATGCCTGTAGAGTTTTCTAACAGAATAATGAATCATATATTGTTTGTCATCGACCAATTGAGCCAATTTTATACTTTGGAAAACATGAAACCTAATACAAAGCCACTTTCAATAATTTTAGGCAAAACTATTGCTTCTTATCTTCAAAATGATTTTTCTACTTCTTTGAAAATTTTAGAATGTTGGTGTTTAAATGATAACTATGCAGTTGTTGTAAAAAGTATTCTCTCAGAACTTGACCGACGAGCTATTGATAGACTTGGTTATTTGTTTTGTCGTAAATTATCAACATCTAATTCACTATATAATCTTATTGGAAATGCAGTAAGTGATATGCCCAACTGGAATTACACTTTTTGCAAAAAAATGATATTTCTTAATTATTATGAAGATGAAAATATAGCATTAAATCTAATGAATTACTTATACTTAGTTCAAAAACATTCTAATTCTAATATATTAAGTACCATAATCTTAGAACTTATTCAAATTTGGGGAAATAAAAGTGCTTTGATTCACACACCTTTTGAACAACATTACTACTTATCAAAACTTATTGTTATTGGATTAGTATGTCTATCAAATTTAACATTGGATGACCAATTTAAAAAAGATGTTGAGATTAAACTCTTTGAAGGTGTTCCCATTCATCTGGAGAGTTCAGAAGAAAAAGTTCGAACCATAGGAATGATAGTCGCAGAGATTATAATTGGTATTGTGAAGAGTAAMGAAAAAGAAGGTGCTCCCACTTTAAACTTTGAGTACAACAAATTACTAGATGAATCCAAATTGATAGTAAAATCATTGAATGAATTAAAAAATTTCAAAAACCGCGATGAATTAGTATTTAACGATGCTTTTAAAATGTTGAATAACTTTTTTGAAGATTCAGATATTATCAAAACCGGATGTACGAATACATTAACTAGAGTTCATGAAAAAGTAGTGAATAATACAGAAATTACAGTTGAAAATATTTTAGACAGCGATGATGATGAATTTGAGCCTTACGATTTATCTAATGATGTTGAAATGGATGTAAAAAATAGACCCAAATACATACGTGATCTTATTGACGGTTTCAATGAACAAAAAGATTGTAAGGTGTGGCTTGGCTGTTTAGAAGCATCTGAAAGTCTAATTAAATCACAGTTACCCAATGATGATGTTTCATTTGCCATTGAGCTGTTGACATTATTAATCAGTATGGAACAACAATTTTACATGGAGAATTTTGAAAGCGTTAGATATCAATCTGCTGTTGCTGTAGTTTCTGTTTTTCCGTATGAGTGTGCTAAACACCTATGTCATCTTTTTTATGAATCCATTGGCAAATATGCAGTTTCTCATCGTATTTTAATACTAAATATTTTAACTGGTTCTGCTAAAGAATTATCAGGCTTTCAAAATGTTGAAGAGAAACAAGAAGAACCAATTGCAATAGTGAATACTTCAAAGTATTGGGAAGATATTATCAAAAAAAGAGTTCAGCTAAAGACCAGAATAATTTCCAATCCTAGAAAACCCGTTAAATCTCAAATTAATCGTTTTGTATCTGTAGCTGATGCATTTTTTTTCCCTCTCATTCGCGGAAATTTAATTGAACCAATTGTTTCACAAATTGACAATACTAAGCAGTTAGACATTCTTGGAGTTCATCTATTAAATTCATTATCAGTTATATTATGCTGTGCAATTAATTCCATGCATGCAACCCGTATGGGTGCAGAGCTTTTAGAATGGACATGGTCATTAAGATTTCATAAAGATGTGAAAATAAGAATTGCCGTTATGGGCTGCCTAGCAGCCGTTTTGTTGTCTGTGCCTAAATCTAGATTAGTTGACTTGGGTAGCTCATTAGTTGAGTTTGTGATGTGGTTGGAAAATGTTGTTACATCTGAAGGGGTAATAAATAAAATCGATAACGAAGTAAATCAAGAAGCAAGAAAATTCGCCCTTCAAGTTCTGTTACTTTATAGAAATGCTGTTGGTGATCAAAATATGTTTCCATAACAATTATAATATTTCAATYCCATAAATATATAATGTGCATTCTAGTTAAAGAAAAATATTATGTTTGTGTTTAATTTAATATGAATTAAAATTGATAATTTCTTTTGTATCTAATTTTGCATTACTTATTTATTTTTATATTCCTTTGAGTAATTTTGTGTATAAATAAGACCTTTACGATTTCCAGTGTCTTCCTTGCCATTGAATCAAATGATTCAACCGGTAACATTTGCTCAGAATAATAGTGATACTGAAAATCAATCTTCTGGAAGCTTAAATAAATTACAGGTATTTAAGAATAATATTAAATTAACTGRAAAAATCTAGAGATAGTTTATTATAAAATATGTTTTGAAAATAATGACTCAGTTTCCTGTCATTTTTTTTCTTGATAAAATAATTCATTGTTAGATCTAATTCGGTTTATATTATTGTTTTTAAGGTTATTRAAATATAATGAAAAAAATATGATTCCTAGATTTTAAAGTTTGATTATCAAAAATAAATTAATCATGTATTCCATGACAATTTTTATTTTTAGCTGGGCAGCACTTGGAGTGGAGTAAAGGGCCTAAATATAGACTTGGATAATTTATTATCACCCGGTAGTAAATCGCCAAATTCAATTTCAATGTCTATGAACCAAATGGCTAATAACAACAATAGTCTTGGTAAATAAAATTAACTAGTTTTCAATAAAATTTGATGAAATACTATTCAGTTAAAATGTTTAGTTGAATTTATGTTCAATTTAGTTACGTTTTAAATATCTATTATTCATAAACAAATTATTATTTTGAAAATCGGTAAAATTTTCTTTAATATTTCATCAATTAATGTTGACAAATAATTATCTGTCATCATTCAGATTAGTATGTTATTTGTTTAATTTATTATTTGTTTTAGGTGGAAAACAAAATGCCTTTTTTGATTCTAACGATGTACTAATGCCTACTCAACAAGCATTTTCTGCTAGCTTCAAGTGATATTTATTAAACTAATTTTAACTAACTTTAAAAGTTACAATATAATTGATTATTGTGCAAGAAATGATTTAAAACTTGTGGGAAAGTGTTTCCTATTTATATATATTTTTCTTTAAAGGTTGTGGGACTCTTATTAACCAAATTAAGATCATAGTATAGTGATGTAAATATCACYAACAAATTGTAACCATAAAATGAATGAAAAATGATCTATATTTATCAAATTATGATTGCGGTTCAATAAGTCTGGAAAATTGTTACATAATTTTAAATGATCCTTTTATACTTCTTTCTGTAACAATATATTTTAATAAGCTCAAATATGAATATTAATATTATATTCATTTATGTGTTTCATTTAAAATTCTAAATGTTCGTACGTTTTCATTTTTATTCACAGAGATATAAGTTTAAAATATGGGATCTTTGTAATCTATGTCTTAATATTTAATATTAATTAAAGTACCTAACGTTTAATTCTAATGTACATGATGATATAAAAAATTGAAAATGYCATCATTGGTATCAAATAGTATTTGAGAAATACTATTTTAATAACATATCACATCAAAGTGTACGTGTCAAAGGTCATATCATTTGTTTGTTCGTTTTTCTCTAAGACAAATCTGTACTTGATTTAATGATGAACATTTTAATTTGAGTTTGGTGCTTATATTTTGGGACAAGTAAACTTTATAAATGTTTCTTGTATGGCTCAAGTGAACTATATCCAACAGTATTTTTTTTTCTAACCACAATATTATTTGTTGCAATTTGTTAATTTTTGGATTATTTGAATACAATTGATTTTAAATACCTATTATTATTTACAATTTTATTAAGTTTATGTACCTAATCTATGTTTTATTTTAATTATTTGTTAATTTGAATTTGATTCCAATATTATTTCCTTTCAAATTTTAATTAGAATATTAATATTTACCTATTGTGTTATTAATAAAATTATTTTGTTGATTATGTCGTTTTAAGTATGTTTTACTTYATGTTTCAAATTATTGTCAGGATTGATTAATAGGTATTAGATACCTGTTTTGGTGATATATCTCCGATGAATGATTAAAATTTTGTCTTCGGTAGAAAGTTTAAAAAGAGCTCTACCACAGTTTCCTGTAATCTAGTTTCTAATATTATGTTAGTGGCTCAACATATTATGTTAAAGCTATAGAACAGAACTGTATGTAATTTTATATTCATATTGAGTGTAATTTATTTACAAGGTTAACCTAACCTATGAGCCATGAGGGTTAAAAATATGGGCTTTGCAAATAAAGCTAGTTAAACTTAAGTGTTAGGCGACGCGGGCTCTGGGTGTATGATTATACCAACATGTAGAACATATTATTGTCAAAAACTGTTTTCTATACAGATGTTTACTATATTTATAATAAACTAAAATAGATAGATAAACCGTAATATACAATATAATATCTACAAAAATAAAAAATATAAAACAATACGAACATTATTAATTATTTTTCGTGAATAAAAAGTAATTCATTTTCCATTTTTTTTTTTATACGTTTCGTCGTTTCATATTTTTTTTCAATCAAACACTACAAAATTTGCGGGCCTAGGCAGCTGCCTACCAGTGCCTGATGGGAAATCCGCCTCTGGTTATTGGTATCTACGACAAACTACAAACTAAAACATTTATTTATTTAAAAATAACATGTGGCCACGGTGCCCACGGGTATGACTGGTACCTATGACCAAAAAAAAACTCATAATCATGCTCAGGACATTCTCGATAGCTACCGTATATATACAGTGGCGCCAAACTATTTTTTTTTAGGTGTGGCAATGGACAGAGCCCCCCACACCTCCTAGACACTACCGATTTTTTAAACTACAAAATATTATTTTCACAAACAAATTAAATATATATATTGGCTGTATCTCTGTCTCGTGTCCACTGTATATGACCATGTAAAAGGTCTATACCAAAAGTATTCTCTAATATCTTCTTGTCGCCGTCACGCCGATCATCGCGGATTCGTAGCCAATGACCTGCACTGACCACTGACAAGTGGTTAACATCGAGCGTGGCTGAATACTGTAATGACTGATGACCTGCAACGGGATCGTAGATCTATAAGCGATATCACGTCATCGATGTTGCGCAACGCTGACAGTTTCCCACTGAATCGCACGATTGATTTACTTCAGATACGCCTTACACCTGTAACGCTAATACGCTATATTTATATTTATATACAAAAAAAAAATTATCAAAAACTGCACTGCAACAAGAAACTACCGATTCTGCCACCTTTTTTTTTAAACCATGACGTTCAACGGATCGAGAGTGCGCTCCGATGAAGTTGCCCTGCGATTTGCATGCACGGGTGCTAATGTGCCATTTAATCACATCAAGACACACATTCGGTATATACCACAAGACAGCAGTGTCCACCACACGTAGTGCAGTAGTTGCGTTCCGACCCAAAACGTCCTTGACCTATAAAGCGGCGACCGCTTCTATTGGTAGACGTGTCATTGGAAATCTTTTTTGAGCGCTCTGTGCCTACTATTTATTATATTCGTACGTCTTTGTCAGGTGATGAAGGGTTCAGCTAGTTTGCGAATATCCAGAGAATGCATTATTCGCGGAGCGTGGCTTTGTGTTCTGATCTTAGAAACCTCGTCCTCGGACAATGGCGATGTACACGTGCTTCGTCAATCCTGCCGCAGACGTATTTTGGTCTCGCTGCCAGCCTGAAGCAGTACACGGAGGTATGCCCTAAAGCAGTCCCGGCTCCCTAAGAAATGGGGTTAGAAGTGGCCCCAAATTGCCCCGCCCTTCAATTGTATTTTTAAGCATTATGATGTTTAATTGTCCCGAATCCCGGATGTATACCAATTACTATAAAAGGTACTATATGTAAAATAATTGGCAATCTTAATGTTGTTGAATTCAAAGTTTCAAATACCTTTACAAAATTCTATTATTTAAGCAGACTGTGTAATAGTAGATAGAGCCATATCAATTCAAACAACTAACATAAAATTTTTTTAAAACTACTATACTCCTTCAATTTGCAGATTTTAGTGATTTTACGTATAAAAATCGCTAACAAATATTCCGATTATCGAAAATTATAAACATATTCTTGTATCGCATCATCATAAATTATTTTATGATATACACATTGAATATAAATGTATCGTAGTACAAGATAATCGATATTTCATATTATTGCATCAAGATTTAAGATATACAAGATCCTTGTATCGAAGATACCGCCCAACCCTGGCGAATGTGTTTACGAGTTACTACTAAATAGAAATGATTAAAAATTAAAACAATTAATGATTAAAAGATTTAGAAATCTTAGAAACTTATTTGATACCAAATTATAATTAAAATAAATGTACGGTTATTAACTGTGTGTTGTCAATATTATAAATATAATAAATACGGTTTTAATTAGCTTGGAACGTTTTTTTATGGCTTAATACTATTAATTTTAACCGGGTATAACAATATTAAGTTTAATATATTTGTATATACTAGCGGCACACAAAAAATATTTAGAATTTATTGTAAAGCTATTAATTTAGTTAGAAGTTATATCTATCCTATATATTATCACTGTCCATTTTGACCATGTGAGTGTACAGGTCTAACAGCCGACTCGAATATCCCATTTCATTATCATACCAGGCGCCTATTGTCACAAATTTGTCACCGATGACCGACACCTGGCTGAAATCAACTATGGCTGAACATTGACTGCCTACGAAATCGGTGCTTACAAGTTTTTCTGTATCATCAATGTAGGATATCACGGTATCATTATTTTGAGTTGCATCTTTCCAGATTGCACACTTGATTGCCACTAGTTTCACCGGATTTTTAACACTGTTAAAATAAAAAATTTCAAATAAACAAAATAAAAAATAAAAACAATTTCGAAATTGTCGCTTTTTACGCACACAGACGTATAAAGAAGTTTTCTATAATTTGCGACGCGCTATGGTCTGGTCTTTACAATTTTACATTTTTACATATATTATATATTACGCAGAATGCAGAACATGCTTAACTATTTATTATTCGAATTTTAATATCTCAAACGCTGTGGTGCATTTACCGATTTACCCGTCTTTCCCATTAAATAACACCAAAGCGCCACTTGGACTACTGCACTGCAGCATATACGATAAAATATAAAAATATATTTAATACTACGCACTATACACAATACGTTACATCAAGTAGAGTTTGAGCAATGACACGTCCAACGTTGGCACCCTCACGGAGTCACCGGTTACTTTTCCTTTTAATTCCGGAATTACAATGCCCACGGCTTTCGCTGCACCCGTCGTGCTGTGAACTATATTTCCAGAAGCTGACCTCTGAAATACGAAATCATAAATATTACGAATAAACTTAGGTTGATTGGTTGCGGAGCAGTGCGTTGTGCGTTTATCATTTGTAAATGATACATTACAATACATTTTTGTTTTGAATATTTTAAACGTGACGGAAAATATTATAAATTCCATAAAAAATATACATATTGTTAATTTCTCCGGGGGGAATAACGTCAAAAATCTAGCCGCCGGACCGAGAATCGAACTCGGGTCTCTCGCTTGCAGGGCGATTGCTCTACCACTAAGCTACCCGACCGCATACACGGAAAAAAATAATTTACCAAAATATTCTGTTGGACGATTTTTAGTAGTGGTAATGTATTTTTATCTAAATCTACCAATTTTTTGGTTATAATTGCAGAGCTTATTTTGTATGGTTACTTTATAAGTTCTGTAAAAATTATACGGTGGGTATAAATACATTTTTGTTAAACTAGTACTCAATGTATAAACACAACAAAATTGATTGCTAAATTTGTTTGCAATCTACGTGTAACTGAGACTATTTAAAGAAATTAAGAGGCCTTTGTGGTAAAAGTGAAAAACATACAACGCTCAAGAGATGGCGTCGTATTCCGTATCGCCGCCGTCGCGGCTGGCCGTAACCACGCCCATCATCTACGCACTCCGGCGCGTGTGTTATAATCGCGGGAGCGGTACATTAGTATATCACGGACTGTCGTTATAGACGTTTCGCGTCAATGTAGTTGACCGTTGCGTAAATTGTCATCCAAGTATTTCTTACTATGTACTAGSGCACGGTRCGTGGCTCCYAGTTCACGAGTCACGAGTCGCGACCTATTTATTAATTAAAKCCCCTGCTTACTTAAGAATATTAATCAATAAATAAAGCATACAAATAATAATACWCCAAAACTTGATTTGTATTTCTAACCCAATTACTTTTTAAAATACATGTAATAACATGTAGTAACAATAATTTMATTACGATTAAATAGGTTTTTTTARTAACTGTGTCACGTTTTTTACGTTATTACTTATTAGTGACTGACCTGAAGTACTTATCGTACGATATTTTCATCTCCAATATATTAGTATAACATTTTAAATATTTTTGTTAGTATAAAATACATACCTGTTTAYTTATTTTATTTTTAAACTTAATATAGGAAGTTGAGTGTTATACATAACATATTATATGAAATAAATAGAATAATACTTTAATTTTTTATATTATTTAATACAATAG